TTTTAGATGTTCAACTTTAGAGTTAAAAGCTTAAATCAAGGAAATCAGTCTTGCTGGATGGAAGGATCATTTCACTTCTTTTAAAAATATTTTCCCTTGGATTTAGTTTTTATTTTTTCCTCTTTTTTAGGCATCCCTTTTTTCTGCAGTGGCCATAATAATTCAATAATTTTGAACAAGGCCCTCGAGGATTATAGGAGAGGCTGCATTTGTGTTTTTATTAGCATGAGAACAAACGTAGCTACCGCTAAGTTCACTGACCTTTCTTACCCTATTTTGCCTTCAAGGCCATTTCAACAACACCTCCTCATAGTTTTCACCTTGATCTATAACGGTTCTCGTCGCCTCGTCACACAAAGGGGGGAAGATTTCAAACGTTGCTCTTTGACAGCATGATAGATTGTGTTAATGTCAGAGATTTATTTATTTATTTGTTGTTGTTTTTTTAAGAAAAGGAACGGACAATAAGCAGAGGATGGTCTTAAAGAATGGCATGGGGATTTTTTGATGACATGACAGTTAAATTACCGCCCTTTGTGGGGAATTCAGACGTGTTGATGACTAAATGTATCTCTAACACCTCTGTGGAGGTGCTGAGGGGACAGAAGGTGAGAGGAAGGGTGAAAAATGGCCTTGTTGTTTTGGTAGAGAAACAAAAGAAGCAGCGCCTGCCGAGATAATACTAATAACTACTTCTGTAGCCTGTGGCTTCTTATCGTTGAAAGCTGAGCTTCTGATGCACCATGGTGTGTTGGTAAACATATTTATGAGGACAAATTTTACTCAGATCCAACTCAACCCTTTGCAGCCTGGAATGTTGGATTTTCTATCTATTTTGCATCTATAACTTCATTGTAGGTTTTTTTCTCCTTTTGAATGTTTTTTCTATTGGGTTTATGTTAGAATAGCTCTCGGTGTTTCTTTCATTAAGATATGGTTTCCTACGGCATATTAAATAATCTCTTTGCGCTCTTTTTGGACCAGTTCTACAAAAAGCCACTTTACAAGAAAAACTGAACAAATCTAGGTAAACAGAAACTAGTTCAGTCCTTTGAATTTTACAGTTGGATCCAGTCTAGTTGTAGGAGCATCATAATTATGTGTATCAGCGGAATAAAAGGAGCAAATTTTATCTAGAAATGTTATTATATGGGGATGTTATGGATTACAGCCCGTGACCCCTGTGACCCCGAAAATAACAATTCAACTAGGGCTGAAACAATCAGATTAATCATGATTAATTGATTATTGAAATAATTGTCAACTAATTTAGTAATCGATTAATCATTAACTAGAGTGTACAGACTGTTAAAAATGCCTTTTAGCTGACAGAGCAACCCACTTACAGTAATTATACCAAGATTGTAAAAAATATGTCAACATTTTGCATTTAAGGTAAAAACAATCTTTTTCATCTGTCAATACGGTCTATCCACAACTCCTCAAAAGTTTTAGTTTAACCTGGTTTGATTTCGTGAAAAGTCTTCTTTAAGGGACCTCTTGCTATCTGATTTATTCTTAATTGATTGAAAAATAATCAACAGATTAATCAATTGGTGAAATAATCGTTAGCTGCAGCCCTAAATTCCACAGATTTGGAACCTCCAACCAAATACATACAGTTACTTCACTAGGTATCCTTTTCATATGAATAAAAATATTTGCATTTTATTTTATATTATTATTATATTTATTTATGTATGCATTTTCTCATTATTTATTGATATATTTAATATCTGATTCACGGTTTAAATAAATACATTTGTGCCCTCCATATCCACTTGTTCTTGAAGATTTACCTTGCCATTAAAGAAAACTATTAATAAGAAATTAATAAGAAATAATTGTCATGATGCAGGACAGAAAGACTCAGTATTCAAGACTAAACAGTGGGATAACTCAAAACGTTTATTGAAAACAGTAGCGGACTGTGGATCCGGGGGACCAGCAGTTAGGGCGGGGCGCCGCCCATCACTGAGAACTCTGGTTTAACAGTTCAGTCCATTTCCATAGAATGCCATTACATGCAGCCGGTGGGCTGCCTACAAGATGCGGCAAGTGTTGCTCAGAGTGTCCCAGATGCTTCAGCCCTGGAGAACATGCAGGGGTCGAAGCCAGTTCAAGGAAACAGATCACAACAGGAAGGCTCAGAGGTCCGGAAGTCAAAAGCCAGGTCAGAACAGGATCAGGCTGGTTCAGGGTTCCAGGAGTCCACAGACAGTTCAGGCAGAGCGTTCAGGTAGGAGCAGGCACGCTCAGTGGATGAGAGGCAAATCAGTAAATCAGAAACACTACCGAACACTTAAAATACGCTTTCTTCACAGAGATCAGACAGGAACAGACGCACTCAGTGGAGGAGAGGCAGATCAGGATCAGGAAATCAGGAACGCTAAAAACCGTCTCTCCACTGGCCCCTGAAAACAACAACTAGAGCAAGAGCAATAATCTGGCCCTGATGGCTGGGACTGAGCCGTATAAATAAAAGCAGGAGCAGGTGGATTAAATAGCATTAATGAGCAACCGGACAGACTAAAACAGGTGAATAGAGAAAGCAATTAGGCCTGCTATCAGTGCCAGGATCATGGCAATAATAATATAATTAATGGTGATTTGGTAAAATAAATATATTTATAATATATCATTTTGAATTTTTGTATAAAAAAATATATAAAAATACAAACTTTCAAATTAATGTACCTTCCTCCTGAACATAAAAAAAACACCTGATTTCACTGATTGCCTCAAAGTGTTACTCAACAAAATGTAGGAGCTCCATCTGGCTTGTTTGCATGTCTTACTTATTAATATATTAAAAATCAATATCTTGCTTTCCATTTTTTAAATCATTTTTATTTATTTATGATTACTTTTGTTCATTTCGTTTTTTTTTAACTC